TATATATATATATATATATATATATATATATATATATATATATATATATATATATATATAATATAACATTTTTTTTTGTTTCTTATGGTCACTTAAGTTTATTTAGTTGTTTGTTTGACTTTTTTTTTTGAACGGCAGTTGTTTGTTTGAATTATTGAGATAAAACTACCAAGAGCAATAATAATAAAATTGTTGCATTTAAAAAGAAATGATTGAAAAATACATTTTCATGAAAGACTTTTTCTCGAGCATAAGTAGGGAGATCAAGTTTCAATCACTAATATGGTCGTTGCCTTAATGATCAAGTTCCACTCACTAAAAATGTATGAAATTTTATCGCATTTCAGTTGAATGTTTGGATGTTATTTGTATAGATTATCCACTAAGAAGAGAGAATATCAAAGTTTCTGAAGATTTTATGTAATCTTCGTTTCGAGCATCCTATAACGCACAAATGTTCTATCGTATGTTGACTACAAAAACATTAATCCTTATAAGTTGCTTGTTCGTCTTCTCATGCATCTCTAAATATTAATTGGACACTTCAATTACACATTGATGTTCTTATTCGCCCTAGTGAACTCTTTCTAACCTATGTGTTTGCCTTCTCACGACACGCTAATAAGAGTAACAATGATATATTTGGTGATATCATAACTTTCATCGTCTTCATGATCGGGCATATCTAACGACGTATGTCTAAAAACAAAAACCTACTGATTCATAATGTTGTACGTTCATGTAGATATTAGATAAGATACAAATAGTAGGCTCAAAAGTAACCACGAAAACAAATGCAAAATCGCAAGGCTCGCCAACCAAGACAAATCAAAATTGTGTGTTGTTTTTTATATACTTAATTTTTGCGGTCCTATTTTATGTAATCTATGCAAGGGGTTATCGTGAATGAGACTATTAACTCATGAGGTTATTTGTGTCTATTTATAGACATGAGTTGGAGTAGATTTAGATATGCTTATATCCATATTTGCCTTTTCAAAAATAAATAGGTTATTGTCACTATAGCCCAACAATGTTTAGTATATTGGTTTAAATGGTCCCTCGTGATTTTTTTTTTGCCTTTGAAGGGTACGAACTTGTGTTTTACCGATTAATTTGGTACCTTTACCCATTTGTAAAGGTTACAGTGCCTTGTCAACTGCCAACTAGGCAGGTGAATCAACAATGACTCAGTGGTGAGTCGACTCATCGTTGCCATGTAAGCCAAAACCTAATTGCCATGAAGATATAACTAATCCATCAGTTTACATCAGGACGTGAGGGCTTACGAACAGTAACAATAGAGCTTCTTTGTCATTAACGCCATGTACTTCTCCTACGTTCTAATTCCAAAACCAGAATATGTAGGTGAGATTTCTGATGTGGTGGTGGGTGTAAACAGAGAGAATGGGGTGGCAGAGAAGACAGCGGTGGAGCCAACATCAGGGTCACCGCCCTCGATTTCGGTATTCATAGACTTTGTTCTTCTTTCCTTCAAGCATATTACTTGCAGATTTGATTAAGTAAAGGAAGTTTGTGTACTGCGATTGATGGTTGAAGAAATACCATGGCTCGATCTTCGAGCTCAATATCACCATGGATTCGAGCAGAATTCATCAATGATTCCTATATTTCAAATGTAGGTTCAAAAGGAATGTTTTCGATGAACTCAAAATCTTCGTTTAGATGCACAGATTTCCCCAAAACATCAATAACCCCTAAATAATGATCAATTTTTGGATCTAGATTGTAGTCGTTCTTCATTGATTTGAAGTATTTGAAGCATTCTTGAATTGAATTAACATTGGCACATGCTGAAAAAAGTAATCGAAAAGTCTCCTTGTTTGGAGTTTACCCCAACTCTTTCATCTGGTCGTATAACAACAAACCCACATCGGGTTCTCGTTATATGTGTAGCCCTTTATCATTGAATGCCATAAGCTTAAGTCATCTCGTTCACGCATTCTGTCAAACACCCTGCGTGCATCCCTTACGTTGTTGCATATTATGTATAGTACTATCAATTTAGAGTTCAAATTCACAAAACCGTAGTAGGGAGATCGAATAAGAAGCTGTTAAACCTTCTTCCCCAGTTCAAGATCGTCACACAAATCCAAAACAAGCTCGAAAACATCGATGTAACATCCTGTTTCGAATTGTCCATGATTAGGGTTCGTGGGCTGCAAACCGGGCATGAGAAGGTCTCGGGGTTGCGACGAGTTGCTTGAAGAGTAGGGTTTCCCGTCACCTTTCCATGGATATGAGTTTCTGTTGGATATAGTGTCTAAGTCCATAACTTTATTTGGTATGAACTTGACCCGACCCGGCATGGTCCAT